GCCGCTGCAACCACCTCCGCGATTAAAATGACCTGGTGAATTTTTTTTTAAAAAAGCGGACAGAGCTGAATAGAGGATTTTGTTTTTTCCGATCTTATTTGGATTTTAAATTTAAAGATTTACTTTTATTCCCTCTTTTTGTTTTTTTCTTTTGTTGAAAGGGAAAGTAAAATGGCGATCGGTAGGTTTTTTTGGTGTTTTTTTTTTAAACGATTGGAACGGAATGGAATGGATTTGACTATTTATAATGATTTTTTGATGTTGGGGTTGGATTTTAGGAGGATTATTTTCCCTTTCTGTTTAATTTTTTTTTATTTTTTGGAGGATTTTTTTTGTTTTTTGTACTTTTAAAAAACAACGGAACGGATTTTTTTATTTAATTATTTTTTTCCCCTTTTCCTTCTTTTTTTAAATTTTTTCTCTTTTTTTACTATAAGGATCTCCTTTTGAAGGAGTTTTTGATTTTTTGGAGTCAATCTCCCCCCCCTTTTTTGTTTAACTTTTCTTTCCCTCTTTTTTTTGGATAATTTTTAAGAAGGAGTAAAGATTTTTTAAGATGGCTCCGAAGCGTCCAGTTATTCCTACAGCTCCTAAGGTGGTTTCTTCTTCGGCGATATCATCAGTGCAACAATCTAAATCAATAGCTTCACCCTCTCCTTTGGCACAGTTACTAACAGTAAAGGATTTGCAAGACATATTGGGAAATGCTATATCTCAAATCAGGGGTGAAGTGAAAGAGATTTTACTGGAAAATAATAGGATTCTGAGGCAAGATATAGTTTTGGCTTTAAAAGGATTTGCCTCTGTTCTTGAAAAGTTGAATTTTCATGTAGAAGAGGTTGCAGACAAAGTGGAGTTCTTGGAGGGAAAATTTGAAGGTATGGAAAAAGAGATGGAAAATTCTCAAGATGAGATTCTTATGCTTCAATATAGAGAAATGGAATATGCTTTAAGAATTAGAGGCTTGAGAGAGTCTCTGGAAGGAGATCTGAGAGAGATGGTTGCAAATGACTTTGCTGTGATTCTGGACAGAGAAAAAGAGGAAATATTTAGTGAAATTGAAAAAACATTTAGAGTTAACTCTGTGGTGGCAAAGCAAAGAAACCTGCCAAGAGATGTGGTAATTTATTTTGGGAAAAGATCCCTGCGCAATGAAATTATACAAGCTTTTTACAATAAGAGGTTTCAGATTGCTTCACAAGATGTTATAATTTTAAAGGAGATCCCATCTAAAATTTTAAGAAGAAGAAAGGAGTTTGCTTTTTTAGCAGATGAACTTAAAAAGAGGCGAATGTTGTTCAGATGGGACGTTCCAACTGGAATGATGGTGAACTATCTGGGGATACGTTATAGACTTAATACTGTTTTCAAAGCAAAAGAGTTTTACACTTCGGTCCTGGGGGTATGTTCATCGCCACTTATTATGTCTAAAATTTTGGAAGAGAAGAAGGTAGAATCGCAGTCTGAAGAGCCTATATTGATGAAAATTGGGAAATTTCAGACTGAGGGGTCTCAACAAGTTGAGATGAAGGAGCAGAGGATAACCTGTGTAACATATAAACGTAAAGAAAAGGATCAAGAGAAGAAGGATGTTAAGGAAGCCTCACAAGTATTTGTTCCCGAGCCAGCGGGAGAAGCAAGATCTACAAACTTTTTGGAGCAACCTTTAAGGGCAGATTTCCAAGCACTTCTCTCGAGGTTCTTGGATAAGAGAGATTGATTAAGAATGTACAGATTGTTTTTAGGTTATTGATAGATTACAGTTCACTGTGGATGGAATTGGTTATTGGTAAAGAGGAGAGAAGATTATGGAGAGTGAATGAAAATTTTAGATAAGAAGTTTAACTTTAGTAATTTAAGGAGTATTCAAAAGAGTATTTTGTTTTAATGGTATAACTAACGTTTATAGGTTTATTTTTGTGTTTGATGATAAAGAAAGAGGGATAGATTAGATTTTATATAATATAAGTATGATATTATGGAGATTGAATGAAAATTTTAGATAGGTAGTGTATGTTTAGATATCTAAGGAGCATCTAAAGGAATATTTTGTTTTAAATATGTATAAGGGAACTTTAATGTTATAAGTAATGTTTATATGTGTGTTTTTGAGGGTGTTTATAAAGAATGATGGATAAACTTTAAATAATATAAGTATGACATTAGAAAATGTTTAGTTTTTTTTCTGAATAATTTATAAAGAGGAGAGAAGATTATAGAGATTGAATGAAAATTCTAGATAAGAAGTTTAAGTTTAATAATTTAAGGAGTATTTAAAATAATATTCTGTTTTAATGGTATAATTAATGTTTATATGTGTATTTTTGAGTTTGATGACAAAGAAAGAGGGATAGATTTTATATAATATAAGTATGATATTTTGGAGATTGAATGAAAATTCTAGATAGGTAGTGTATGTTTAGATATAATTTTTTTTGTTTTTTATATACTGGTCTTAAAGTACTTTATAATTTGTTTAATTATTGTAATTAATTGCTTATGGTTTACATGTGTTTAAATTTTTTCTTTTAAGTTTTAATTAAGCCTGTATTCAGCTCTGGGAAGGTTGGGGGAGGGTTGGGGTGGGTTGGGAGGGTTTGGGGAGGGGAATTTTTTTTCTTCTGTAAAATTTCAAAAAACTTTCAATAAAAAAAAATAAAAAAAAGAATAAAGGTTAAAACAACAAGAAATGTCTGCGGTCTTAAAATAAGCCCTTCAACAGCTTAACCACAAGAGCTTAAGGAAATGCACAGATACTAAACTAACTGCTTATTTTATTTCCTTATTCCTATGCAAATGGTTTCCAAGAAACAGGACCTGTGGGTTAGGCCACAGGCCCCAAACCTTTAGGCACCAGGGACCAGTTCTGTGGGGAGAGGTTTTTCTGTGGACTGGAGGGGGCATGGTTTCGTGTGCTGCCTGCATCCCATGGCTTCTCTTGTTTGCGTGGCTCGGTTTCTGGTATGCCGCAGCCCAGTGCTGGTTCATGGACCAGGGGTTGGGGACCTCTGGGTTAGGCAATGCCTCATGCACTCACCGTTAAGGGAAAACTAACCTAAAAAGGACAAAAACAAATAAGGGGAAGGGGTGCTGAATCAAGGGTGATGAGAGATGTAAGCAAGGGCAGAGATTCACATGGGATGCTTTGGCGCTTTGGACAGGCTGTACACCTTGTAGTACTCAGCCAATGGGGAGGCAGGGAAGGGACTTTCACTTTGGGAAAGAAAATAAATAGGTAACCATTTAATGCCTGGGTGTACCTACTTGCTAGCCACCTGCTCCTGCAAGAACATATTTTTTAAATAAATTACTTGCTGCTTTGCTTAATGATTCTGTCAAATCCTTGGAAGCTGAGTGTGTTTCTCACAGAGTGGAGTGGGATGGGGGTGGAGAGTGGAATGGAGAGAGTAGAGAGTGGAGTGTGGAGTGGAGTAGAGTAGGGCGGGATGGAGTTAGGGCAAGGGTAAGCAACCTTGGCTCTTTTATGACTTGTGGACTTCAACTCCCAGAATTCTTGAGCCAGCACGAGTTAGGTAGTGCCGACATTCCTTAACCTTTTCCAGACTGTTGCCACACTCAGTTGTTGCTGTTGTTTTGCACGTCTGCTTGGCCGCTGCCCAGTTGCCTGGATCTGCTGTTGCCTGGTCTCCTGGGTCTGCTGCGTTGTGCTCAGCCTGGATCTGCCACTGCCTGCTTCTGTCCTTGCTCCGCCTCTCCTGCGTTTTTGCTTGTCAATTTCTTTGGCTGACTGTACCCCATCCTGGATGCTGGATGCTCAAACTCTCCTCTTTCAAAGTCCATGATGCTCTGGTTGCTCTGTGCTCCACTGCTGCTTTCAAGGAGGCTTACAACACTAACAAGGAAGAAATGAAAAAAGTGTAAACAGAACAGCAGTAAAATAACAGAACAATTAAATAAACAATAAAAAGGAAACTATAATAACAAAATATCATCAATATGATGATATGATACGATCAATATGATAACAAAAAGATGGATGGGTGGAGAGCAGGGAATGGGGGGGGAGAGAGAGGTGGAGTGTGCCATCAATCCAGCAGCCACCTCCAGCGTAGAATCCCCCCCATTTAATATATAAAAAAAGTAATACGAATTTTCTAAAATTTTAGAAATGTGATATTTATGAAAGTTTCTAATTTGAAAAACCATCACATTTTTTTTAAAAAAATTACAAAATTCAAAACCTACACTTTCTCTATAAAATATCCTATCCCATCTTTTTTCCAAAAGCTTCAGGGGCTCTCTCCTTTTGTTGGTCCTCACACAGCAACCCTGAGCTAATTTAGAGTGTGAATGGTTGGTGCAAAGTCACCCACACTGTTGCCATGGCTGAGCGAAGACTTGAACCCCGAATCGCCTGACTCCTAATTCAGTGTTTTAACTATCCTACAGTGGATCTCACATTTCATCACTTTTCTTAGTCAGCGATGTGCAAAATTCATTGATCTTGGATTAATGAAGAACCATAAAATGTACATTCCATTTCCTCTCAATCATGCTGAACCTCCTTGCAGACTGCCATTCTGGGTGTGGTTGGTGGTATTTTGCAAAGCAATTTGAACTGTTCTGTTCTGATCTGATTCTTATCTCAGCCCCTTAGACAATAGATCAAAACATTTTGCTGTTTATGTGATTGCCAGTAGGACCCAGCTAGGATTTAAAAGGGAGTTTTAGCTGGGATCTACAGGCAATCAAATGAACAGCGAAATTTTTTTTGCAAGGATCCAGGGTCTCTCCTTTTTAGTTCCAATTGCCAGCTGAACTTTTGGAGCAGTGTTTTTTTTTCAGCAGCTCCTGAAATCAAAAAGCTGCAGAAAGATTTGCCTGCTTACTTCTGTTCCTCTACTCTTCAACCTGGAGTAAGTTTTTTTTTTTTTTAAAGAGATAGGACTGGAGGGCAGAGGCGGGGAGTTTAGTTTCAGCACCTAAGTGGTGGTGGTTGGGGGGGGGGAGGTGAGAAAGATCAACAAGCCTGCCCCTCCCAATTTTTCTTTTTTTATTGAGGAAATGTGGCTTTCTGGAGAAGGGAGGGGATTAAAGCAATGGGAAAGGTTTCAGAAAGCTGCTCCTTTTGCATGCAAGCATCTGGCTTCCCCACAGCCTATGGGAAGTTTGCAGTCTTCAACAGGCAGCTGACCAGAGCAGAAAGCTCTGCAAGCAGCTTCCATTCAAGGGAAGGAATTGTTGTGGTGCTGAAAATGGCAAAGGCTTCCAGGAGGCATGTGGAGTAGCCCAAGAGCTGTGGCACCCCGTTTGGGTAGGATGGGGGGGGGGGGAGGAGCACTGACACATACCCTTGGTTGGTTGTGAGGGGGAATGACTGTAGGGGCACTGCAGCTATTTTTGAAACAAGATCCTATTTAGTTTTGGGGTCTCTGTTGTCACTTTGAATCTTTATTAAGTGATCTGTTGTTTCTTGAGGTCTTACCTCTATGTGTTCGGCCCTGAACTCCTGAAGGAAAAACAGGACATAAGGGATGTGACTTCTTGCTGGAGAAGGGCTGAAAGCTCCTCAGCATTAGAAGAGTGAGCACTCAGGATGCTGCTGTGTTTGACCTTCTCTAGAAGCTCTCTAAAAAAAGATTTCTCTCCAGTGACATGATGTAGCAAGTTATGTTTGCCTTTCATTTCCTGTTGTGCTAGATAACCTTGTCAGAACCTCTCGGAAGTCTTCAGGCGGTGGGAGCAAACCATTCGAAATGAAGTTTGGAGAATTTGTTGAGAGGCTTTTACAGAGCAGAAAAACAATAATGAATTGCATTGCCACAATTATCTTGGTTGTGGTTGAGGAAAATATGGAATTTAACATTAGCTGTGGGATAGAGCCATGGAACAAAATATATTTTGCCTTATTCATAATGGTGCCATTCATCATCATCTTGATGCTGAATTTTATTATTCAAGTGTATTTTTTAAAGTCGTTCAATGTTCAAAAAGATAAGTGCTGCAGCATGGCCTGGGAGAGTTCCTTCCCTGCCTGGATGTGGATTGTGATTGTTTTTTTGGATGGTAAATACCTTCAGTGTGCATTAGATACACATTCTTATGAATCAGGATACACAGTTCCAGCTGAAACAATATCCCCGGTAAGTTATTGTTTTGTCTTTTTTTTCATCTGATGCATGCCTTAAAATCTTCATTAAATACTAATCTTTTGAATGTTAATTTGAAAATGTTTGTTTGTTTGTTCGCTGAGGAGGAAAGGAAGGCTAAGCTGCATAACATTATGGAGCTCATACTAAACTCCTAATAGATTCTTGATATTGGGAAAAGAAGCTGGTTTTCAGGGTATTTTTGATCTGAGAGGAAAAGAGAGAAATTTAATCCTTTCTCTCCTAGATGCTTTCCCATTCTGCTGTAACTGGAAAGTGGGAAACATTAATTTATTAGACATTCAAATGGGTAAATACATATGGGGGTGCAGAGGAAAAGCACATATTTGGGTATCCATCTCAGGTCAATAAAGGAATTGGTCTTTAGCAATAAACTTCTTCAGATTACAGTTACCAATATTCTAATTCATGATGTATTTATCACAAAGCATTTTGTATTCTGCTGAATCTTATATCACAATTTAGTCCTTATGGAACTTCAATAATTCTGATACAGATCAATTTCTGCACACAATTGCCATATAACAGCCTCATTTTCATTAGATTCTTTATGAAGATTTGTTTTTCTTTTTGTCCTGATTTGAAAATCTGGTATGAAAAACTGCTTCCCACATATACACTAAAAGACACTCCATTGAAATAACTCTGATTCCATATAGTATTTACTGTTGCTTGCATTTTAGAAAAAGTTTAGCTTTCTTGGTGACTTCAACCCACAAATAAAATTAAATTCATTAAAGGAACTATGTGAATGTTGGGCCTCTAGGATATCAAAGACAGTTTTGCTTATGTTTTCAAATTCTGGATTATATTCCTGGAGTGTTATTCTTAATGTAGCCTTTCTTCTTCCCTCTTACAGGTTGTTGGATCAATCTTGTTCTTAATCATTGTTATAGTGGTTTTCATACACTTTTGGGTCAAAAATAAGAAGTCCGAGCAGCATAACCTTGAGGAGGGTGAAGAGATGGTGGGAGTTAAATAAAGAGATACCCCTGAGAATATTAAGACTTAGTGCCCTGCTTTATCTCAATTCTGAAGAAGATAGCACTTAGCAATAGCACTTAGACATATATACTGCTTCCCAATGCCTTACAGTCCTCTCTAAGCGGTCTACAGAGTCAGCATATTGCCCCTGACAATCTGGGTCCTCATTTTACTGACCTAGGAAGGATGGAATGCTGAGTCAACCTTTAGCTGGTGAGATTCGAACTACTGAACTGCTGGCAATCGGCAGTCAACAGAATTAGCCTGCAGTACTGCATTCTAACCACTGCGCCACTAGGGTTCTTGATATAGATATAGAAGATTAAAGGATATATATATACTTTCTTTTAGTGGTTAATGTTTCAGGACAGTCTCCTACTCCCATTGATGATGGAAACAAGATTATACTGTCTTTGAGGCTTCCCAATGAACACTTAGTTACTGCTGGCCCACAAGGCCCATTTGAAATAGTCTTGAAATAAGGAGCTGCTGCAAAAGGCCAGGGATATTACTACTACTATTATTGTTATTATTAAGTTCACAAGATTATTAAGTTCACAAGTATTTCTTCAATACTGCCACAGAAGAAAAAAAACAGGGTGTGCTGGATTTTCCTCAGCACCGTTATCTGGAGGAGGGGAGGGAGGTTTGAAAAGAAAAAGCAGCTCAGAAAACTTACTGGGGCCCAGGTTTCTCTTGATGGAGATTTGATGTGAGCTTGCTGTCAGTAGGAAGGTAAAATTAGTTTTCTTTCAGCCATGCTGTACTTATATATTTGTATGTCATACGTCAAATGATTTCTGTTCAAAGGGAAACTTAAGCGCAGAGGGCTGAAAAGTTGCTATCATTCAGGGAAGAGGAGTACAGCATAATAATGGTACATATTTTTGCAGTGAGGTGAGGATTTCGGCCCCTTCCATTCCCCCAAAACTCAAAAGCAGTTCGGAGATGCTATGTCATCATCTTGACTTTTTCAAACCTCAAATTGTTGAAAAAAAGGAGTGAACAACATCACCACAGCCTTGCACAACAAAAATCTCCCCCTTTTACATACACACACAGCAACACAGGCACATGCCCCACCATGTAAGTAAAATAGTTGTCTTTCTTTCACATTGTATTTGCTAGATTTTTTTAATCTTGCCTTCACTCTAGAACAGAGGTATCAAATGTCACGTGACGTTGTGATGTATCGCAACTTTTTTTCCATTGCCGGCAATGGGGTGGGCACAGTTTCGCCATGATGCATCCGGCCCATGGGTTGGCAGTTTGACACTGCTGCTCTAAAAGCTCAAAACAATGTACATATATAATGAAAGAGGTAGGTTGGAATGAGCAGCTCGGGGTCATCCAGAGAGCTCCCAGGTTTGACAGTGAACCTGAACCCAATCTATCACACCACACAGGCAGTTATTTGCCCCCAGTTTCAGTAATTCCGAGATGGAGGAAGGTGAAAAGCCATCAAATTTAATTTCCCCTTTAAAGACCTGCTGGCATGGCTTCAGCATAGGAACTGGAAGATGAAATGAATCAAGGGTTTTTGCCAAGGGAAACCCACAAGCTCTGCAGAATTGCAACCTTTCCATTGAGTTTAGGGAGCAACAGTTTGCAGCAGCAGAATTATCTCAGCTGACAGACATGGATGATATTTGGGGATTATAGGGTTGTGAATTTGATCAAGTGTGGTGGAAATAGGTGGATAGATTCTTTGTTGCAAGCATAAGCCACACGTCTTGGAACCACAAGGGAAGAAAGAGATTGGGGATGTAAGGGAAGAGGTGGAAAAAGTTAAAAAAAATCAAGATGGCCGCCCCACCATCTATGTGCTGCGACACATAAAAAGTGTAGGATTTCGATTGCATGGTAATGGCCATCATTTGGATATTCTTTTACACACATACACACACTTATGAGCACCCCTGAAAGAGGTGTTAGGGAGATGCTATGCTTGTTTAACCAAAATTATGTCTGCAGAAATATCTGCAATTACAACTATAGATATGGATCCAAATGGTTCTACTACCAAGCAATCAAAATCCTACACTTTTTATGTGTTGCACATTTCAGTTAGTTTCTCTCATGCTGAGGATGATGCCGACTTGAAAATTCTGATAGAAAAAGAAGGGGGGGGGGTCTGGATGTCCACAATTCACTGTAAGGAGCAATTGGAAGGTCTGGTCTCTTGCCCCCTTTTCCCCTTCAGCTGCTCTTTTTTTTTTAAGCATGCCTGGGTTTTAATTGCACTTTTTGAAGCTTTGCAATTTTTTGATGTATGACTCATTGACTTCTGACGTATTTTATATTTTAAAAACATAAGGAAAGTTTATATTATTAAAAATCACGCAAGATTATTTGATCCTGGACTTAGAGATAATGATCAGGGTGATTTGTGGTAAATAAGAAACTGTGTAGACCAGTGGTCCCCAATCTTTCCGGCTTGGGGGCCCAGTATGGGAAGGAGGGGAGGGGATGCTTCTATGTGAGTCCTAGGCTTGTACACAAGCATGAGCAACTCCATTTATACAAGCGGCAGGGGTACACCCACGACTTGCACAAATGCAGCTGTGTGCACAATCACGCTCACTGCTTGTGCAGCACAGTTCTGAAAGGGCTGTGGTCCACTAGACTTTCTATGAATAAATTACATAACAGGCTGTTAGCAGAGTGCCTTGAACTTTAACTTCGCTGTTGTTTAACCAGTTAATTGTTTTTTCTTTCATATATGTAATGCATGACAGGTTATTTGGGTTGTAAATAGATGTGCAAGCTTATAAATTTTGGATCTGCTTTGTAAGGGGGAAAGTTATTTCAGTGAAAGATTTTTCAGTGTTCCACTGTGGGGGATAATATGTGTTTTTGTCCAATTTTTTAATTCACATTTTTAAAAAATTTTCTCTTGTTTTGTATCAGTTTAATTTTTTTCTTTAGGATTTTGTATTTTAACGTTTTATATTTTATGTCTTTTGAATAAAATAAAATTGTAAAAAATAAAAAGTTTTAAATACAAATTTAAGGACTTTTTTTTTAAATAAACAGTAAAAGGGTGATTAAAATTTTGATTCTAGAATAAGGTGACCAACCATCCTCCTTTAGGGAGGACAGTCCTCCTTTTGTGAGTTCTGTCCTCCCTCGAAAAGTGTCCTCCTTCACGTCCTCCTTTTCGATATTTGAAGACTAATCTGCAGGGCTTTTTTTCCCTCACAGAATGCTCAGAACGGCGTTCCGGCACCTTTTTTTGATGATTTTTTTTCAACTTTTGCATGAGCTGTGCTACTCCCACTATTGGCTTTCAAAAGCCAATAGGAATTGCTGCTGAGTGCACCAAAACACCCGGCTGGCAAACTTTGCACATGTAAGTTGTCTGCAGCGAAGTTGAATTGGCAGGAACTTTGCACCCCTCCCTGCTACCCAACTACACCATCTCCTAGTTAGTCCTGAAGATATCTGGAAGAGACTGGAGCGGCGACACCACGGTAAGTTTTTCTTGATCTTCGGCCCTGCTAGGGCAATAATGGCTGCAGGCGCAAGAGGCAGGGGCGGCGGGGCTGCTGTGGGTAGGGGTGTGAGGGGTGGCAGTGGTTGGCTGCCCCCCCATGCTGTGGGAGCCATGGGGCCTGCTCTACATGGGGCTGCATAGGGTGGGTGGCGGTGCTGGCGGGGTGGCTGCAGGTGGGGTGTGTTGACAGCAGGCTGCCCCCTGGGGCCGGATCAGGCACAACTGGTGCTTTGGGAGCCGCGGGGCCCGCTCTACACGGCGGGGCAACAGTGCTGGTGGGGCGGCTGCGGACAGGGGCGCGGCATGTAAGCATAATTACAATATAAAATGTTATTGTTACAAATGTTTTTTATTATGCATTTATCTAATTATAGTGTATTCTGTATTATTGTTGCAATGAATAAAATGTTTCTTTTATTTACGATATTTTTTTCTTCAATTCATTTGTGTCCTCCTTTTCATTGTAAAAAAGTTGGTCACCTTATTCTAGAAACTGTTGCAAACATGCTCCCAGGTTTGGCCAATGACCATTCACTTACACACAGCCCTGAAAAATAGTCACATTCAAATCACTTTTGACCGAACACTGAAGCATAACCGATTACATGGAAACCCAGTGAATTTAAAATAACATCAGAACTTTATTGGTTAAAACATATATATTTGCTCTTTCTCACGTGTGCACACACACTCATCCACCCTTATCCATGTCATTCTCAACTAGGCTGGCAGGCTCTTGATGGAGGGAGGGGAGCTGCCAAATCTGGACCCAAAGATAACTCAAAAAATGAGTGGGCTTCAGGACCCCTACCCCCCCCAAAGTCCTTGCTTTATTCTCAAGTTTGGTAGCTATGGACGGGGAGTCTTGAGGCTTTTTCTATGTGCTCAGGCCCAAAATTTCCTTTGTCTTCAGGTGATATTTTCCCCTTTGTTTCCTTAATGATTTAATTCTTTCTTAACTACTTCCCCTAAAGCAGTGTTTCTCAACCTTGACAATTTTAAGGCATGTGGACTTCAACTCCCAGAATTCTGGGAGTTGAAGTCCACATGCCTTAAAATTGTCAAGGTTGAGAAACACTGCAGGGATTTTTTAGACAAGATTCCTTGCTATTCACCCTGCTTACTTGCCCTACTTTAATCTTTAGGTAAGGCAGCTTCAGCCTAATCTTACAAAAATCACAAATGGACTAAAGGGATAGATAAATTTGAAATAAGATTTTGAAATGAATTATAAGATCCTTCCTATGGGAAAATGCTTTTGTTTTGATTTTTTTTTTAAAAAAAACAACAACATGATGAAACTAAAAATCAGACACCAGAAGGAACTAGAAAGGAAAATGCAGGCCGGAGCTCCATTCTCAGCAGCAGAATGAAGCTGCTCCTTCGGCTGCAGAAGTGGGCCCGCGAGGCAAGTGCCGATCCATGGGAGGCCTGGCTGCAATGGTAAGCTCCACCCCCCACCTCTGCCCTAGCTGATTTTTAGGCATGCATCTTGCCCCCAAACTAGGCTTATTTTTTG